ATAATAAAATAGGCTATTATCTACATATATTTTATGCATTAATGACACAACTTTTTCTTAATTTTTTAATATTTCTAGGTTTACAGTTCATCTGAGTTTTTTCAAATTATCATAAAGCTCCAAAAAATTTTTCAATGTATCTATTCGGAAAAATTTGTATGTAAGTAGACCCATGCAGTTCAAACCCACATTGTTCAGGGGTCAACTGTAGTCATAATAATTACAATAACAAAAAGTATACATAGACAAAGTTTCAAATTACAGCCCCACCTCTGGGTGTTGGATAGTGGATAATTCAAAAGCTTTTCAGAAGTGTGCAAAGCTTTATAAATGTAAATTTTATGAACAGTTCAGAAATATGTTTCAGATTATTTATTGTCGAGAAGATTTTTCCAATAACATGTCTTATATGCTTAGTTTTCCATATCACGATTATAAACTTAAGAATATTGTTGCAAAATTCTGTGAAAAGATAATGTAAATTCTGTTAACTAGTTTTTCAATTTGGATTTTCTTTTTCCCTAGAGTGTCACACTTTTCTAGGGAAATTTTCTTAGGTCAGTTAGTGAAACAACTAGTGTTCCATTCAATATCTTAAAAAAACTTCCATATCATGGAAAAAAATTTACCCTATCCCAACCCAAAAGATAAAGAAAACACATAATTTATAGTTGGTGATAAATTTTTACATATAAAAACATTAAAAGAGAAATGTATTAGTAGTTGGGTAAATTAGTATTATTTTAAACCTATTTCTTGTGGGTCAGTAGTCTTTAACCGAAAGGTTCTCTCTCATTATGACCATGAAATTTCAAAAGACTTTTAGGGAATTCACTTTATTCATAGTCTTGCCCAGTCATTAAAAATTTAGAATCTAAAATTGCTATTTCCTCTGTGTTAGGAATGATTGGCATTAAATACAAAGAGCTTGAAAACAACTACATAGCAGGAGAAAGTATGACTTTAAAAAACAATAAATATTATAGATGACTTTGTTAGATAGTTGCCTTAATAAAAATCAGGAATTGGCAGAGACTATGATTTTTTCTTTTTGTAAATTTAGCACTTGTTTTTATTATGCATTAGCTTAAATAATCAACTGAAATATAATATGAAATAAATTCTTGCCTTAAATCTCCCTACAATTTCCTTTTTTAAGAGGCAAACATTTTGACTCTTTTGGTAATTCCATTTGGTATTTGCCTTCATATTTCTAAATGAGATATTTATAGCACTATTAATTTTTTCAGCTTTAGATACTATTTTCTCACTATTGAGAATTTAGCTGTTTTATATCATCCTTCATACAGATAATTTCTCCTCACTCCACTCAGATCTTCAAAGAGTTATAGTACATTCTTCACTATACTCACATTTTTGTTATTATACCTTTACATATATTATTCACTGCCAAGGCAAATGGTATACTATACTTATGTTTCTTTTATGACTATTATTTTAACTGGAGTTAGTTGCCTTTTTTTTTTTTTTTTTTTTTTTTAAATCTGCTTGGCTTTTCACATCTGTGGCCAAGTTTTCTCACCCTCCCTACATCTCTAAATAATGTCTCTTTGTCTGATTCTGCATACTTTTCAGATTAGCAATCAGTTTCACTGTTTCTTTTGTCCTTAGGGATAGCTCTTCCTGGTGCCTTCTATCTTCTTGCCCCAATTTGGAATGGTTGCTCTCTAGGCCCGCTGAAAAACTACAATACTGGAACTTCCTTTTGGTAGCCTCTTGGGAGTTCCTCTCTCCTTTGTTGAATTCCTGGTTTCCTGAATCCCATGTCTCCTTCTTTCTAAGTTTACTCCTTAATTTTGGTGGAGCATTTCTCCAGTGCTTTCTAGGACAGGGCACATGGGAAGTACACATTGAACTTTTATGCCTATTAAAATATATTTATTTTACTCTTTCATTTGATTGATAGTTTGGTTAGGTATAGAATACTAAGTTGGGTGTGTTTTCCTTCATAAGTTGGAATGCAATGCTTCATTTTCCTCTAGCTTATGATGTTACTACTTGAGTAGTCAGATGTGATTCCAATTAAATGTGATTGCCTTCACCCCCATTTCTTTTTCATTTGGGGAAGTTTTAGAGTCTTCCTATTATTCTCAAATGTTCTAAAATTTTTCCAATGACATATCTTGACTTATGTCTGTTTGCATTTGCTGTATTGAGCATTCAGTGAATTCTTCAAATCCAGAAACATTCTTCAATTCTGAGAAATTCTGTCATATTATTACTTTGATTTTTTTTCTTCTCTCTTTAATCTTGTATCTTTCTGAATTAAGATATTGGAACGGCTGGATGAATCCTTTAATTTTATTTTTTTCAATTTGCTCTTTTTTTTTGGTCCTTTTGCTCTACTTTCTGTTTACTGATTATTCCTTGTTTCTTTTTTTAAATGACAGTCTATTTCTGTCTTATAGATGCAATATGTTTTAAAAAACTCTACTTGAGAATATTATAGAGGCTTTTTAAGAAGTTAAACTTCCGCTATCTCCATCATTTCTCTTTCCCGGGCCTTTAGTTTTCAGTTGTTTTCAATCTGCTAAGTCTGTCATAAAGAGTTAAATAAAATCAAGTTACTCTTAATAAAAATAAGGTTGTCAGGAACAATTACTCCAACAGAGAACCTCTTAAGACAACCAGTGCTGATCAGCATGTTTCCAAGGTTCATTAACAGAATTAAGAAGTCATGAAGGCAGATATTAATTAAAAGACGGTGAGAAGCTCGTCTCTATTTCCACTGAAAACAGAGGAGGAAAAAACAGCCTTAGGATACAATATGAGTAATATTTTACATAGAGGGGAATCAAATAGAGTGGATATGTATGCTTTGGTCTGCTCAGCTGTTCTATGGAAAACCTTTTCCTTCTTCACACTTTCACCTACATGTTTGTATCAATAGCTACCACAATATATGCCTTTGTGCAACACTTGCTTGACTAGTCCAGGGGTGGAAATCTGATCCAAGATGACTCAATCACAGCTCTTCCCTATGGCATTTTTAAAACTGAAACTGAAAAAAGGGACCAGTATATTTCTGATCACCCGAACTCTAAGATAAAGAAATTGAGAGCTTTTAGAAAACATGAGCCTGAGAAGCAGAGATCTGTACTGGAAACCTGCAGAGACACACAAGTAGATTCACAGAAAAAAGCGATCACTGAAGAAGAGAGTTTCAGAGGCTTAAGAATCAGTTGTCCTGAGCTCAGTCTCATCTCTGTTCTAGCAATCTCAGTATCCTCATTAAATTCCTCTTTTGGCTTAAGTTAGTTTGAATTGGCCTCTGTATTGCAGAGATATGAACAAAGTGCTGCAGTTGCAAAGAAGGAAGTAGTTAAGATATGATCCAAGAAGTTAAAGGCAGGAAAAGAAAGGAATTTCCAGGCTTCAAATTTTCACATTCTTTATAATGTCTCTATTTTGATACAGCTGTACTTCATAACTGCTTCTAATTTATAAGACCTGGAGTAGAAGTCCTAGTAAATATGTTCTCAAGTAGAGATGGATGAAAAACATATTTCTCCTGAATCTTATGATCATCATTACACTTGCTCTATCTCCACATCACTGTAAAGACACTGGGCCTGGCCTCCTGCCTCAGCCCAAGCCTCTCCAAAAGATTCCAGGACTATAGTACAAGTCAAGTTTTTCTTCATTCTGCATCACCAGATCTGCTTTCCCTGAAGCTGAGATTAGAGGACGATGACTTTTGAGCTCTTTTAACACTCAAAGGTGTCTCACATGTTCTCATTACAATTAGTGGCTTATGGACAATTACCTTAGTCCTATAACTTCTGTCTGATGACTGTCTTCTCTCCTGCTGATCTTTAGCCAGGTGATTCACCCCAACACCGGTTAGGGAACATTGCTCTAGTTATGTTCCAGAATAAATTTCTTCTTCTTTTTTTAAAAAATATCTCCCTTACATCTTTGTCAGAAACACTTCAATAAAACCTTCTTTTGGGATTTGCATGTGTATGTATGTGAATGAATTGGGTTCAACAGTTGGGTTGGCAAACTGTCATTATCACTAGTTATCTAGTGAAAGCCTACAAAGGATGCCACAGGGGGAGAGATGTAGATAGTATGTAACTGCGTACCTTTTTAATCTTAGTATTTTAAATATTTAACACCCTTGCCATGTAGTTACATCATGTTCATCAGACCCCCCTTCCCCCCAAAAACACTCTTTCCTAAATCAACCCCTCTAAAATGAAATGGACACAAATAAAAAGGGTTGTCTGGTGTACTGTCTTCCAAGAATTATGAAGTGAAAAAACAAAGCAACTTCAGAATTAAGGTAAATATTTTCCTTTTAAACCAAAAGCTTGCTTCATCCATGGATTCATCGAATATCATTGGTACCCATCTGAGAGGCCAGTTTTGTATATTGGTCAAGAGTGCCAGCTCTGAAGGCAGAAGGATTCTACTTCTGCCGTGTACAGACTTCCTGTTCTCAGACGCGTTACTTACCTCCGTGTGTCTTAGTCCCTTCATCTTTAACATTAATGTAAATATTAGAATTATCTCACAGGTTGTCGTCAGAATTAAAGATAATGTATGTATGGTACTTAGGAGTATTTGAAACTACACCAGTACACTTAGTCTTTACCTTAATTTTCTTTCAGCACCACGGTCAACGTCAAATATTTGGAAGGACATTGAAATTTCCTGAAAGTGAAATTGTATATGACGTAATTAAATTCTATTTCAGTGTATCCTGTACCTCTAACTGTAGAAACAAGGAGACGAATAACCAGAATAGTCAGAACCTCAACATTGGTAGGGGACAAATCCCATCCTTCGTATTCTCCAAGGTGACTTACAGAACGCTAACGCGTTGCGTGTGGACAGGCGTCCCAAATTTTAGTTCGCGGTCATCTTTAAAACCCCCCAGGGAGCTGTAAGCCCGGCTGTTGGCCAGCGCTAAGCTCCCACCCTCGCTGATCTCCCAAATGTCCCTCCTCTCGGGTTACCGAGCCCGGCCTTCTGCGGTCCTCGGATCTTCAGCCTCCCCCGCCCCTCGCCGGCAGTGCCCGCCGAGCCGGGCCGCCCCCCTGCGCATGCTCGTTGCCGCGCGGGTGGGGAGCGCCGGGGCCGGGAGGCGGGCACCGGTCGCAGGTCCCTCCGGGCAGGGGAGGCCTGGGCCTGACGCCGGCCACGCAGCGGCGGGAGAGCGAGCACCCAGGCAGCGGCGTCCTGGAGACCCGCGAGAGATGGAAGCGGCGGCGACGCCGGCGGCGTCCGGGGCGGCTGGGCGCGAGGAGTTAGGTCGGTGTTGCGCGTGGGTAGGGACCTGGGGCCGACGTGGGCGGGGGTCTGTGCGGCGGCCGGGTGCCTTCAGGCCTCCCGGGGCCCCACGCTCGGCCAGGGCCAGGAGGAGGCGGACCCTGCCCCGCGTCCGCTGCCCGTCCGCATCCGGGTTTCACAGGGAGAGATGTGGGGCCGAGTGGGCGGCGGCGGCGGCGGCGGCGGCGGCGTGTGTGTGTGTGTGTGTGTGTAGATTGTGGGACTGGCACAAGTTCGAATTTAAGCCCAGCAAACGTGTGTGTGGTGTGTGTGTGTGTGTGTGTGTGTGTGTAGATTGTGGGACTGGCACAAGTTCGAATTTAAGCCCGTCAGACGTGTGTGTGTGTGTGTGTGTGTGTGTGTGTGTGAAGGCTTTTGAGATTGTGGGACTGGCACAAGTTCGAATTTAAGCCCAGCAAACAAACCTCTCCGGGGCGTTTAGGATGAGCTGAGGCCTGATTGCTAACTGACCCCGGGGTCAGCATCCGCAGAGGAACCGGTTATCTGACCCGAGAGCGTGGTCAGGGGAAGGCCGGGCCTGCATAGGGCGTTAAAGTATGTGTGTGTGTGTCTGTGTGTGTGTGTGTCAGTGTGTGAGTGTCATTTTGTGTGTGTGTGAGTGGGGCGGAGCCCTGTACGCGTCAAAGACTTGAGAGCCTGCGCCGCCACACGGTTTTTTTTCCCCAGTGATACTTTAAGGAAGTTATCAGTGTTCTGCTTTTCAAATGCCGCAGCCCCATTCAGAATCTCCAGATGAATCCTTATTTTACCGCTTGTTATCCTGGGAGTGTCGAACAGGTCGTGCTGACCATAATGAACAGGAGATACCTGTAGCTAGCTCACTTGGCAAAGTTTGTTGGTTTTCCTGCTTTCCTCGGATCTTGTTTCTTGGCGACAGGGCGTGTTTGTTTATGGTTTCCCACTGTCCAAAATACAACAAAAGTAAGGATCAGGGTGGTAAAATGATCTCTCTCCCAGTTATATGTACTATACTTGGGAGTATTTTTCATTCAGTGCTGATTAAATGTAATTAAAAGGCTAAATCTAAATGTAATTTTCAAGAAAAGGGTTGAACTTTATAAAATACTGTATTATAAGTAACTGAAAGGTTGTTGCTCCTCTTACAGCCTGCAGGGAGGGCACTTTGCAATGGAATTTTTTCGGGTAGTACGTAATAATGATGGAAACAATAAACATTTTATTGCATGCTTACTGTGTGAAAACACTGTGTTAAGTGCTTTATCTATGCATTCTCTTTAATCCTCACAGCAATTGGGATAGGTGCTATTATGATCTCCATTTTATAGTAATTTTAAGCTTATTAATGGCAGAACCCAAATGTGAACTCAGGTTTATCAGACTGTTTTAAATTCATTAATAACCTGTGTTAGTGAGGATATGGAGAAATGGGTATTCTCATGCACTGCTGGTAGGAAAGGGAAAACATATTTATCCTTAAAAATGTACATATCTTTTGACAGCAATTCTCCTTCTAGAATATTTCCCGAGGAAATAAGTAATGTAACAAATATTTATATCAAAAGGTTTTCATGATAGTATATAGAGAAAAGCTGTTAACTAGAGTACAATGAAAGGAAATTGGTTAAATTGTGGTGTAGCTGTATACTGCCTACCATTAAAAGTGATATGGAAAGATGTTCACTATGTAGGTTCTTTAACTGAAAAAAGTTTCAAATTATTTCAGGTTTTTTTAAGTTTTATGTATTCATTAATTCAGCACATATTCGTTGAGCTTCTCCTAGGCACTTGAGATACATCGTGAGCAAAACAGATAAAAATTCTCTTCTTATGGAGCTTGTATTTAGTAAGCGAAAGCAGAGAATAAGCAGTAAAGACAATAGCCAGTTAATTATGTAGTATGTTAGGTGAAAAGTTCTGTGAAAAACAAGAGCAGGGTAAGGGAAATCAGGAATGAAGGTGGGGGCTGCGCAATTTACAATATTTTATAATGGTTTGGATGGGCCTTATTGAAAAGGTACAATTTGAGTAAAGACTTGGAAGAGGTAAGGAAGGAAATTAGCTAAATGGATAACTGGGGAAAGACTACTCAAGGTAGAAAGAATGACTAAAGGAATAGCAAGGAGACCAAAGTGGCTGAAGCAGAGTGATGGAAGTGGCTATGGGGCCAAATTATTTAGGGTCTTATAGGTAATGTAGACTGTAACTTTTACCCTGAGGGAAGAGTGGACCAATGCAGGGTTTGAACAGAGGAGTGGAATGATCTGGCTTGTTTTAAAAGGATTGTATTGGCTGTTATGTGAGGAATAAACTGTAAGGGACCAAAGTAAAAGCAGGAGAATATTTTAGGAAAGATATATGGGTGTCCTTCAGAGTAATATGGTAGTAGTGGCAGTGGAAGTGAATAGACATAGTTAGCCTTTAGGTATATTTTGAAAGAACCAATGTGATTTCCTAACAGAATGGATGAGGATTAGAGATTAAAACAGAGGATACATGGAAGACTCCAGGAACCTGCATATTAGAAGAATGAAATTGTCGTTAATTGGGATATTATTGTGGTTTTGTAATATATCTACAGATTCTTTGATGTTTCTCTCTAAAGGAGGAGAAAATTTCCTTCCTTTCAAGTGAGGACTGGACTTAGTAACTTGTATCTAATGAATAGATTATGGTAGAAGTGATGATGTATGACTTAAATACTAGTTAATAAAGTACATTGTGCCTTCCTCCTTGCTTTCTCTTTTTGAATCACTCATTGAAGGAAAGCCAGCTGCCATGTTGCAAGGAGACCCAGGCGGCCCTAAGGAAAGCTCCATGTTGCACAGAACTGAGAGCTCCTGACAATAGCCATAAATTGATATACAGCAATGGATAACTAGTACAGATGGTTAAAGTTACAGGAATAGCAGACTTGCTGGTGAAGACCAGTTCACTTTGGGACATGTTAAGTTTGAGATGTCCATTAGATATCAGAGTGCAGTTGTCAGGTAGGCAATTAGATTTATGTCTAGATTGGTGAGAGGTCTGGTCTAGAAATATAAATTTTGATGTTATCAGCATATACATAGTATTTAAAGCTAGGAGACAGAATGAGAGCATTTGAGAGTTGTTTGTGTTTATGTGTGTGTACATGAATGCACACATGTGTGCCTGTGAACATGTACTCTAAAATGTTAACAGTAGTAATTTCTGGGTCATGAAGTAACTTTTGATTTCAAAAATGTTGTTTATATATTTTCTGATTTTCTACAATGACAAAATGTTATTTAACTTAAAAAAAGAATTTCCAAAAATGGATATTTATGTGAAAATCACTGGTGGAGATGTTAAGATACAGGTTCTCGTAAGGTATATAAAAGGTCTGAACTTTATTTCATAGCCCATGGAAACCTTTGGAAGGTTTCTTGCTGTGTATATTTCCTCCATCTCAGAAATGAACAAAATAGTTATGGCTCTTATTTTGTATCTAGATAGTAGTTTATAGACTTGGGTGACAATTTTATGTTATTTTTTAAAAATGAAACTATTTCTACTTTCTTTTAGTTTTTCTATTGCCAAAATACAAGTGATTTTTAAATTTTATTATAAAAATAATGCAAGTTTGCTGCTACTATTTTTTTTAAACATTTTTCAGAGAAAGAAAAGTGCACTAATGATCCCATTGTCCATCTATATCCTCGTAAACTTATTCACATTTTGATATATTTACTTTCTCTTATTTCTACTTAATTCTTAAAAACATGATTTTAATCATATTGCAAATATTCAACTTTTTCTCACTTAGCATATGATACACTTTTCCCTGTTTTACTCAAGACTTCACAACCATAATTTAATGTCGGTGCAATACTTCATAAAGTGAATGTGCCAGAGTTAATTTTCTAATTTCCTGATTGCTCCACATTTAGGTTGTTTCCCAATTTTCAACATCAGTAATGTTTTAATTAAAATTCTTGTGCAAAATCCTCTTCTGCATATACTGGCTTGCCAGAAGTAGAATTACTAGGTGAAAGAAATAAACATTTTTAAGACTTTCATACATATGATATTGATAAATTACTGTGATTTTAGAAAATTCTGTCTACAACTTGAAATTTATGTTGGTTTTAGGCTTGAAAATTGAGGTTCAAACAATTTTTTGGGCAAATAAGAGAGCATACAAGCACTGCCTAATTTAAGAATGTTCCATTTATATGCACCATTAATGTATCCTTATGGTGTACTTTGTAATATACCTAATATCAGATGTATGGTGTATAATAAATGTTGTATAACATTGAATCAAGCTGGTGGTTCTTATTTATCTATAATTTCTCCACTCATAAATAGCTAGCATATCTATTCCTTATAGTAGTGTTTTAGTTTATAAGGCATCATTAATTTTTACCAGTAATAATCACAGCATTTTCCAGAGTTGTCCAATTTAGTACTTAGCCAAAAATTACAGCAAAACATTGGGAAAATAGTAGACATTGTGTGTAATGTGAATTGAGTTGTATAATTTTTAGTTTCTTTGGGGTGTCAGTTTTTATTTCATATATTTTTAACCCTGTTTACCATGTTGAGTTGTTGAGTGTTCATCTCCCTCACTAGTGTCTCTTTCCTTCTGGCACGTATATCATGTTTTGCCCATCTTTGCATACTCAATCTTACAGCACAGTTTATGGGTCATAAATGCTCAGAATTATTAATTATTATTAAATTAGTTCTAATTTTTGTCAAAGATTGGCATTTTAAAATCCTATACAGCTTAATATACTTCTAATATGCGGAGGAGGAAGAAAAAGTAGTTATTGATTACTTATTTTTATGTGCCAAGATGTAGGCTCTATGCTTCATATACATTATTTCATTCTTCACATTCTATCTATATGACATATATAATATGTATAATAACTTCATATACATTATCACTTGTGATGATGACATCACAAAACCCCTGTATAATAGAAGTAATTATTTTCATTGCACATGTGAGAAAATAAATATAAGAACTGCTA